CTTATAACATCCGCAACACCGAGACTCAGGTTTGAGGGAACAATAGAGCCCGGGTGGGAATCCATGCCGCCACAAGCCCAACGCCTTATCCAAAGCTACGAAATTTCACTACTGTCGTACTTCGGGGGGAAAGCAGGCCTTGGGCGCCACGATATGAATTGAGCTTATTTCCGCATAACGCTAACCTACGTCGGGAATGCGTGGTCACGATACCTATGACATGGGGTAATTACCCGTCGCTGCTTCCAAAAGGCATTGCTTCCGCCAGTCTGGCTCGATGACCCCCGGGACCCAATTCGCGGCGCCGAAAACGCTGTCTTGTGAGTTGTTTCATACTCCCGCTAGGAAGGTAGCAGTATTCAAAAGTGCGGTGTTGACGACGGGAAAATCGCGGGCAAAAGCAGCACAAGGATCTGGGGGTGTCATCAATAGTATGTGGATGGCACATGTCTGCACCCCTGGCCTTTCATTGCGCAATGACGGTACTTTCGCACAGTATGTACCGTAGCAGTCGTGGAAGAGACACAGACGTAAATCTGTTGCCCTCACATTTGGACAACATTAGGGTCTGGCAAAACGTTTGTTGCAATAGTTGCACACCCCAGATTGCGAGCAGCAGCATCTGCAACACGGCCCTTGCAAAAGTGCCCCCTCCCACGACCTGAAAGGTTAGCCAACGGTCGCCCTAAGATGCTAAAATGTACTTGTACAGGTACTCATGGTGGTGATTAGCACACTGACGTGGCCGAAGTCCGAAAGAACTCCTCGGAGAGCCTTCGACCTCTCCTCCGCCCAGTTGTCTGCCAGATCGGAATAGGAGGTTGTGTGTTCGGGGTGGTGATTAAGCGCTACATCTCCACGCTTAGGATCAATGCCTGTCATATCCGTTTTGGGTGGCAGTCTGCTTTCACCAGACGAATGAATACCCGCCCATCGGTACGCAGTTCGCCCCATAGTAAAGCGGGTCGAAGTGTTAACCCTGAGTTTTTGCACAAGTTGTCTTTCCTCAAAAGAGCATACAGTAGTGTACTACGCTGCTGCCGTGCAATAGTTGCAGACTGAAATATCTCTCCTCAGAATTGTGCGTGTTTGTTTTTAAATTAATATAGTATCGACCGTGCTAACGGGCTGAAAAGACGTCAATCGTACAGGATTTGTGTGTGTCTTTATTATTAGCATCGACCGCGCTAACCGGCTGACCAATGAAAAGACGTATTGTGTGTGTGCGGCGTACCCTTTGCCTTTTGTTGCCGAAGAAAACTCTCGGGGCAGATCAATAGCCGATTTTCATCTGCACGCCTCCCCTTTCTTTAGTGCATATGTATACATTTTCCACTTCGATGTACGTGCCCCCCCGGCCTCTGCGTCGGTAACACTGCGCTGTACTACTCATTCGACGACGAAAATATCAAACATTGGCGGCAAACAACCGTTGACGGCAATCAATGACAAACCGTGCGCTGTTGTTGCCGTGAACCTCCCAGCGGTCGTGAAAACATGTACGCACCGCCGTACTCTGCACATACGGCCCTTGCCATAACTTAAGGTACCCGAAAATACGTAACACGCAACTTGCTATTGTAGCTCTGCACAGCTGTCGTCTACTGCACGGTGGTTATGTGTACATCGTTCAACTCGCGAAGTGCACTGCCGCCGTTCGTTTGTGATGATGCCACACGAGAAAAAGACGGAAGCTGCACGCACCGTTGAGAGTATCGCTTCCGTAGGTCCGGAGAGCCATCACTTGCGAGCTGCAAGGCTGCCGCGAAACAATGCAGCCTAGCAAACGCAGTACGGACCGCTTTGCACCGGCGAGCGCGCAACAGGCAAGCGATTTCGCCCAAAAGATGAAACCGTCAGATAGGATTCGGAAACATACCGCCCTCTCTTGATTGATATCGCGGAACCCCCCAGAGAAATTGCAAGTCCGGGATGCTGGCTTGGGCAGCATCCCGATCCGTGCGTGGCTTTACGTGTGTTTTCAGTTCAACGTGCGCGCCGCTTGTGCAGGATACAGCGTGCGAGCCTGGTCTGGCGGGACCGTGCCCTGCGTGTCCAGAGCGCCGCAAGGGCTTGTGCCAATGGCGGAGAAAGAGGAGTCCCTGAGCTCCTTCTGGGACTACGATTTGCAACCACGCCTCGAGCCCCCTACCAAGAGAGCAAAGTCGAGCTCCTGTCCGGTGAGCATGCTGCAGAGGGAGGGCGAATTTCGTAGCGAGCAGGCAACAACCCTGATGGGCGATAGCTTACTACGCGCGCGGGGAGGGGTGGCGGGGGTGGCGAGCCCTTGGACGCACAATCCGGCGAATTTACTGCGTACCCACCACGCCTATTGCTCACACGCCCCTTTTCACTTGGAGTCTATACAATACATCGAGCGCCTTGTTTGACCGAGCCACGACGCCCGTTCTTTGCGGGCACTCTGGCCTACAGCAGTAGTACTCTCTAGTGGAAGCCCAGCTTACAAAGGATTGAGGAACGAGGTTTTCGCGAACCACAGATCTCGTTGCGCACCTCTGCATGGTCATGATTCTTCTCTCAAAAACATATATATCCCGTGTGTGCGAATTTTTGAAAATGAACCGCTTTCGGGGGGCCATTTTTTTTTTTTTTTCTTCACTTCAAATCAGCGCTCACAGCACTAGTGCCGTTTATTCCAACCCGTGGTCACACAGGGGCCATGATCATGCTCGAATAAATAAAAATATTCAAGTACAGCACCCGTATTATCCACGCCCACACCGCTGCCGATCGATTTTACGCCGGCTGCCTGGTATTGTTTTTGGACTGCACACGGCATCGGAAAGGGGCGGGGGTTGTGCGGGACAGACACGTTTCATGCCGTCCTGATGCGTGACAGACTGCTCAACGATGTAATGGCCGGCTTCTAGTAATGCCGATACGGGTGCATTCATTGGACTGCTGTTTAGAGGCAAGTAAAGGGGCAACGCGTGGTATGCTTATCACCCCACGTATCGTCGTCCAGCAGCAGCGACAGATTGCCAGCTACGTTCGTCTGCCGGCAGATGTCTATGATATCCATGCCCAAACACCCACAGCATCAAGTGCGGCCGGGGTTCTCAACACGCTTAAACTGGTACCACAAGCTGTGGTACTGCTGTGCTGTCCGTTGTGTAACAAATAGACAAGCCCACCGGGCGCAAGGAACAAGCAAGCTGCTGCACCCAAGCTTGTTCAGGAGGTTGCACAGGTCTGCCGCAAAACAGAGAGAGGTTGCCAGTATGTCTCTACCCACCAAGCACCACAAGTTGCAATGGAACCCAGTACAAGTATTTCACGGACATTCCAGAAGATACCTCTTCAGGAAAGGATCGGATGTAGACCATATGAAGTACATTTATCACCCTCGTGGCAATAAACAAACAATATATAATATTCTCTCTTACTTCAACCTCATGGTAAGCACAAAAGCACACGTCCTCTCTGTGGTATTTGGTCTTTTTTAACCCAACCAGCATCCCCTCCTGTCTCTCCCAGGCCACTCAGTCCTTCCCGTGCCGACTCTTCGCCGGCATTTCTCGCCCACGTTCAACAAGCGAAACGCAGAAGCACGGCTCGTAGTATTTCGGGGTTTCCCAAGCCCAAGACTACGCTGTTTTTTCGACTGGTGGACGTGGGCGAAGAAATTCGGACGAAGAAGCAGGCTACGTGGCCTGAGAGAGACAGGAGGGGGTGCGGGTTGGGTCAATTAACACGAAACATTCCCGACCGGCGGGACCCCTGTGAACACATCACGAAGTCTTGCGAACTCCTTACGATATCCCCTGTGTTCTGGTCGCGGGTGTGCGGGTGGGGTGAAAACTCCAAAGTGAGTCTCTAGAGTTGGTGCGCAAGTCCTTGCGTGAAGTTTAGCCAGCGGCTGCGACCCCTTCACCTAATTTCTCGTGTGTATGTGTGTATGTTTGGTCCACGTCCCCAACTGCTCTTTGAGTACCATTTCGGTTTTGGACGCCCCCGCCTCCCCCGATGCTGTCTGTCTTTCTCTCCGTCACTTCACGCTTGCCCTTCTGCGTTGTGAACCCCCGCGCTCCCCTGTGTTCTCTGGCTTTCTCTACTCTTCCTTGCCCGTGTGCGGCGCCCAGTTGTGCGCGAAGAAGCAGGCCAAGCTGGAGCAGGAGCAGGCCACGAACGTCGAGCTCGTGCGGTCTATTGCCGACCTCTCGCGGTCGAAGGCAGAGGTCGTCAGAGAGCTAGAGGCTGCGCGTGCGAAGCTGCGGAGTCTGGAGGTGAGAAGGCGTGTACCTGCCACTACTTCTAGTTCGATCCCTCTCCTGTTTCTGTCGAGTGCTGCTGCTGCTGCTACTACTACTGCTGCTGATGATGATGATGATGATAATGATGATGCCAGTGGAGGTCCTGTTTAGTGTCAGTACATGTTCAGAAAGTTCACGGTACAATACCGGGCCGGCACTATTCAAAGTATTGAGAATGACTTGGAAATTCAGGGTGTGCCCGCCGGAAACACTGGCACTATTCAACCGACACCTAACAGGGACCTCTGCTGTGCTTGTTTTGTCCTGCTACTTTTGTACCGGGTTTGTGTGAAAGGCGAGGCGATTGGTGCATTTAGGTAGCGGTTGCTGGGCCCATCCCCGAGGTACAAACAAGAGCGCGCTATGTTTAACGCAAGAGGTCAGGGTAGTCCTGGGTGTCAAGACGACACCAATAAGCCGTCGGTGACTTGAACCGATGCGTCCAACATCGGCAGGGTGACTAAATAATTCGTAGCGGTCTTTGCGTGATTTTCTGAGAACGTACGCCCCCCCCCCCCGTCCTCACTTCCCCTTGTCCGTCCGCACTCCCCGTCCACAGCTCCAACAGTTACAGCACGGGGGGGGCGGCGTTCCGCAGCCGGCGCCCCCCGACCCGGACGCGTACGGTTCCGGAGGCGGCGTGGCGGCGAGACCGTCCACCCCATCGCCGTCGCCGCCGCCACCTCCATGCCCTTTCCTGCCATCCGGCGATACCCATGACGAGGGGTTGAGCGGCAGCGGCGGCGGGGGGCGGGGGTGATAACCGCGGGCCTGCGGCTCGGCCCGGGGGAGGGG